GAGTTGGCAGGGGGAGGCAGAGAGAGTTCGAGACCTTATCTTTAAAGATAAATACATTGATATTTACTCAGTTGCTATTGACAATGATCAAGATCATATTCTCATACCTAACATTGTTCAAGAGGCAATTTCAGATCAAAACAATGTCATTGTACCTCCTGTTTATGCTCAATAAGTTATTCTAGAAGAACAAACTCCATAACTTCAAAAAACAGTGTCATTAAGAAAATCCACTGGAGAAAAGAGAAGTGTAATTCTAGATGATTATTTTGTATTTCTCTAAGAATATAAGGATGATATTGGAATGGTGCAAGATGATTCAATCAACTTCCATCAAACCATGAAAAGTTTTAACTCTCAAAAGTGGACTGATGCCATGAATAAAGAGATTAAATCCATGAAGAAAAATGATGTTTGGGATCTTGTCCCATTGCCTCAAGGTATGAAACTCATTGGTTGCAAATTGATTGTTAAGATCAAGAGGGATTCGAAGGGTGATATGGAGAAGTACAAGACTCATCTTATCGCTAAAGGGTTTACATAGAAAAAAGACATCGATTATAAAGAAACTTTTTTTTTTAATTTTATTGAAAGATTCTTTTCAAGAAAATAATGATTTTAGTGACACATTTTGATCTTGAATTTCATAAGATGGATGTTAAGACATATTTCTCAATGGTGACATCAATGAGACAATTTATATGGTGTAACTAGAGAATTTTGTATCAGGCAATACGAAGCAAATAGTTTGGAAACTAAAGAAATTTATCTATGGACTTAAGCAGACTTCTCGTCAATGGTATCATAAATTCCATCAGGTTATTATCTTGTTCTGTTTTAAGATGAATATAGTGAATAATTGTGTATAACATACGTTCAGTAGGAGTAAGTATATTTTTTTAGTTTTATATATCGATGATTAACTGCTTACTAGTAATGATATATGTTTATTGCATGAAACTAACAGATTTTTGACAAAGAATTTTGAAATAAAAGATCTTAGGGATGCCTCTTTTGTATTAGGGATCCAGATATATTAGGATTCGCTCTCAGAGCATTCTTGAATTATCATAGAAGAGTTATTCAAAAAGTTTCTTAAAAAGATTTGGCATGTAAAACTACAAGCCATGTGACATTCTTGTGTGTAAAGGAGATAAGTTTACTCTTAGTCAATGCTCAAAGAACGACCTTGAGTATAAAGAAATGCAAAAGATTCTTTATTTTTCAGTTATGGGGAGTCTTATGTATCCTCAGGTTTGTATGCATATGAATATTGTGTACATTATTTGGATGCTAGTGAGATATTTGAGCAATTTAGATATGGATAATTGGAAGGTAGCCAAACGTGTTATACAGTATCTATAGAGAACGAAAGACTATATGCTTGCATACAGGAGATCAAATTAGTTGAAAATCATTAATTATTTTGATTCTAATTTTGTCGGATGCCAAAACAGTAGGAAATCCACATCAGGCTATATCTACTTGCTTACTGAGGGAGTCATTTCCTAGAAGAGCATTAAGCAAACACTCATATCCTCTTGCACCATGGCAGTTGGGTTTATAGCATGTCATAAGGTGTCTAATCATGGAATATGACTGTGAAATTTTGTCATTGGACTATGCATCATATATAAAATTGAAAGACCACTAAATATATTTTGTAACAATAAATATGTAGTTATGTATTTCAATAACAACATAAGCTCAACAAAATCAAACATATTGATATCAAGCTCCTAGATGTTAAAGAAAGAATTCAAAGTAAACAGATATTAATAGAGTAGATCGAAATAAACTTGATGGTTACAGATCCGCTCACTAAGGGATTACCACCAAAGTTTTTTCATGAGTACATTGTTTATATGGATGTTGTATTTCTTGAGGATATATAGTTTCAGTAAGAGTTTTGTACTATAGTTGCTTTTATGATACAAACATGTAATGAGTTTTGTATGTTGTATATGGTTTATGTATTTAATAATTAATTTCAGTTATATTGATTTAGTTTATTTTTATATTTTATCTCTAAATTTACTTAAAGTTTATTTCACTAAAGTTAAGGCAAAACCAGTTAGAAATAGACATGCTTGGATTACATAATATGTAGTTTTCATGCTGCACATCAATACTTGATCAATGTCATTTGATTACATTGATATATGTGATCATTGATGGGATTAGTTATGACAGTTATTGCAAAGACTGCTTTGATCTTATGTTAATGTGATTGATTGATGAGATTGTTTAAGAATGCATTCAAGTATTGATAATAAAATTCTGATTACTCATACAATTATTTAATGCACAATTATAAGGTGACATATAAAGTCTAAATAAGAGATTGTTGGATTTTAATTGATTGTGTGGGCTTAATATGGGCCTTATTGTGCATAAAAGAGTATTAATTTTATTGGGTCCATTTAAAAGCGATCGGTTACGGATATTGAGCCTTAATGCAATTGGTAAAGTATAGACTTCTTTTTTATGCAAAGACCAAAAGCATTATTTCTGATTTTATGATTGGTTAAATCAGAAATAACGAAACTTGACAATATAAAAAGGTAGTTATAGTCCCCAAATCACACGTAAATACCTTACTACGTGTAGATTCCTTCCACTATAGATTCAAGTATGCTTCCAATTACAAATTTAATCCTTTTTATTCAATATGAGTATAGTTATTTAATTTCATATATAGGTCAGTTTGAAATCCTACACAAGTGTGGTAAAATGATTATGTGATCAAATGTATCAATATTAATAATCTATGGAATGTTATGTTTTTCTTCTGAATCTATTGCATAATATTATTGCATAAAGACATCCTAGAGAAACCAACAATTGTGGGCTCTTGTGGAGAGCTTGAGGATGAATGAACCATGTGAGTTAAGGTTTGCCTTTGTTGAAATAACTCTATAATTTAATTGTACTGCTCCTATGAAAAAATAAGTTGTTTATCTACCTTATTTGGTTCTAACTGCTCAATAACTGACACGTGATTGACATTGAAGTGTTTAACCTTGCAAGCTTTGGATCCTTTTAGATAACCTTGAAGCTTATGGCAAGCTTCAGCACTATGCCTAGGCATATTACAATTTGAACATACAACTTTGTTTGGGTTTGCCTTAAAGCACATCTCTAGAGCACATCCACTCATCTTACAATATGAACAATAGTATTTTTCCTGATTAAGGTTTGGGCTTCTATGGTTTTTATTTGTATCCTTCATACTAAATTCTAGGGCTCTATTTGATACATTGACTATTGAGATTTCTCTCCATTTTTTTCTTATTGTATAAAGAAATAGACCTCATTCAACTGGATGAAGAATTTAATTAACAGTATTTAAGCCTTAATGACTTTGTAAGACTCATTTAATCCCATCAAAAATTTGATCACAAAATCTCTCTATTGATACTCTACTACTATTTTAAGCCCCCACATGTACAATTCAATAATGCTTCATCGTTCAATAATTCATCAAATAAACTCTTCAACTTAGAGAAATAAACACTCACTAGATCCTGGTTTTGCATGAGGTTTGCAATAACTTGCTTCACATAGTATATTTATGGTGCATTATGTTACGCATGTCTTTGTTCGAGTTCAAGCTATAGCTGATGTGGTATTTCAGCATAAAGTGTGTTGCACTTTAAGTATGGGAAGAGTGTGTTTTGAATCCCACATGATTACCATGTCATTGCATTGTAACCAGTGTGGTATTAATAGATATGATGGATTTGTTGGTTCAATTAAGGTTTCATCGACGAACTCTAACTTGTTTTTTATTTTTAGTGCCTTTTTCATTAGTCTTGCCCATGTATGATAACTATTTACCTTGAGCAGCTGAGTAACTGAAATCCACTGGAGCTTTCATTTGCTCTAATGTAAATACAAACTACATGAATTTGTCAGATCTAGAATGATTATACTTATAGACGATGAGTTTGATTAAATAGTTGTCTAGTTTGTGTATTCAGTTTCCACCTCGTACTTTGATACCATGTAATAAGTTATCTAGCTCTTCCCCAATGATTTGAGATCTAATAAGATAATCGTGTGAGCTAAACTTGTAAGGATTTGTAAGGATTTATAAACATAAGGCAAAAACAAATAAAAAAAGCGAGGAAAACAAAATAAGTACTCCAGAGAAACGATAGAGAGAAAATCCTAAGATTTTGAGAAAATAAAAAATTTAATTCAAGAGGCATCTAGGGTAAATGTGAAGTATTTATACATCTCTTGAGCTTTTTGTGTACATACATCTTAGTAATATAATATTGATTCCTTATCTAACACACACACTTTACATATAATCCCTTTTCTTTGATGTACGAACCTCATCTCTTCTCTTATTGGACTTGGGCCATTGGCTTGTGGAACCTAAAACCTTTTAACACAATAAAGACAACTAAAACTAATTAGATAAGACATCTAATAATTTATATTATGTATTTTTTGATAACTAATATTGTATTTGATATGTAAAACATCATTTCAAACACATATCTTCATCGAATTTTGAAATTTTTGGTACAACATAACTTGCGTATTCTTTTACCTATAAAAAATATATTTCTATCAAGACAAAAAGAAAAGAGAAAATAATTTCTAACATCAATTGTCAAATTTATCTTTTGAAAAATCAAATGGAGAAATTAAAACAAATTCACATATATTGTTTAAGTAGTTGCCTATCTTTTTTTTTTTTTTTCCTGAGATTACCTCTATTTTATTTTTTCGAAATATGAGGTATAATAAATTGGTGTAAAATTCAAAAAAAGAAAGTGAAAATTATGTTTCTTTTCAATATATGAAAATTTTATAA